CCTAGCAAAACCCCCCACAGCACCACCATACTCACACACTGACGAGAGAGAGAGAGAGAGAGGGAGAGAGCTAGCGTGGGTTGTATTTAAGGCTATTGACCCTTTGGGGTTTTGTGCGTTTGGACATTGAAGAGGAAGGCAGTGAGAAAAGCTGTTTATTTATAAAAAAAAAAATTCAATTTTTGAATTTGATTTCATATCATGGGACAAAGAAATGGGTTTGCTGAGAAGGGAGCAGCAGCAGAAACAGAGTGGCTGGGATTGATGATGCGAAAAACCCAGCAAACCCAGCAATCATTTCCTCGGAAGAAGACGATGATGGTGATGAATCACCATAATCATCATCATGATCCTTTGCTTGCCAGTGCAGGAAGAGAAGCTTGTGGGGTTTGGGATAACAGTCCTGCTTCTGGTGGTGGACTTTTGTTTTGCAACACAAGCAATCCAGTCTCGAGTTGTCCGACTGATTTATATCCTGTCGGCTCTGATTTTGTCCTCCCAAAGTCTCTACAGCACCATCTGCCTTGCTCTGATCACAGCTTGGCTTTCAGTTCCACAGGTAAAGTTCCCACCTTTTTTTCATCACGAAAACAACAAAGATTCCAACTTTAACGAACAGTTCAGTAATTTTCTGGTTTTTTTATTTTTATTTTTTTAATTTTTTCCTGTTGGGTTTTATAAATTTTGAATTTGAATAGGTGGAATGGTGAATGCGAATGAGAGAGTTCCTTTTACATCAGCTCAAAGGGAAGAGCTTGAGAGACAGACAATGATTTACAAGTACATGGACTCTTCCCCTGCCCCTCCCCAATTACTTTTACCAATTTCCAAGTTCCCAAATTGTAAATATTTCTGCTTTTTTTGTTCATCTTTTTAAATCTTTCTACAATACACTGCAGTATTGCATACTTCGGCACTTACAGCCGTTACATTCAACCCGTAGATTGGATCTAACGGCTCTAAGTTCCCGAGAACTCCGATATATTGTAGGCAGACCCCATCCTTTAGTCATTTTAATTCCTTGTCTTAAAAAAAACATTCCTTTGTTTTACTTTGTTGTTGGGCTTTTTGTTTAGTGGTGAAAGGTTCACTGGAGTTGGGGATTTCCGGGAGCTCAGATCCGGAGCCATGGAGGTGCAAAAGAACAGATGGCAAAAAATGGAGGTGTTCCAGAGATGTAGCTTTTGATCAGAAGTATTGTGAGAGACATGCTCACAAGACCAGGAACCGTTCAAGAAAGCCTGTGGATTCCCAAACCCTAAACCCCAACCTCCTCACCAACAACAACAACATGAGAAGTCCTAGGTCTAATTTTTTCAGACAAAACCACATCAGCAGCCAGACAACTCCATTTTCTTGCAACATGGTTCCTAGTACTGCTGCTGGTGGATCACATGTCCAACCCAGGTGGGTTTGGTTTTGGGTTAGGTTAGGTTTGGGTTCAATTTTGAATGCTCTGAAACATAGGGCCAAAACCCATCAAGTTCTGTTGCTTTGTTCTTAATTATTGCCTCTGAATGTGCCAATTAGAGAAAATTACCTATAAGAGAATGTCAATATAGCAGTATGTCAAGCCAATCAGTCACTGCTATGCATTTTTAACGTTTTCATTTGGCATAGCATAACTGGCTTGTGATACAGTCACAGTAGCATCTCATGTTAGGGAAGATGGTTATAGAGAAACTTACAACAGGAGGCCATTGCAGCGGTGCAATGTGTTTTAACTTTTGCTAGTGAACCTTTACCACAGTGGTGGAAATGTGTTGAGTCTTTGTATGACAGTGTGAGTTCGAACTCTATCGATGGTTAATCTAACATCTAACAAAATCTATCCTTTGACCAAAAAAAAAGTGTTCTAACTTTTTACTTGGCGTCGCAAGAATGAATTGTGATACTGATATTGTAATAATGGCATCCCATTGCAGAAGTTGTCATGTGATTTGATTCTTTCATGGATGTTTCCATTGTTTTGTGTAATAAATGTTGTTTTTTGTCCTTGACCATGGAAGGTCGTCGGCATGGTTCATGAATGGGGAAGCCCCAGCTGTGGATGGTTCAAACCAAGAGTGGGAACAAATGATGCAATTCAAGTTGGGCCTAAAGAGGAGCAGCAGCAGCTGCCCCTACACGAAGCCTACTAACAGAGATGTGGATATTCCGAAGCAGCAAACTGAAAGCTCACTAAATTTGCACACAGATTACACAGGTGAAATCCAAGGCCTGCAAACTCAACAGACAAGGCAAATCATCGATGCATGGTCCACGTTAGCATCAGCAGAGAGAGAAGACAGGGTCTTTGTTTCTTCAAACCAGAAGCTTCCCATTTCATCTCTCACTCTATCAATGTGTGGTGGGGAAGGAAGCAATGAAGAGAGAGGAAGTACCCTAATGGGGATTGGGGTTTTGGGGGCAGAGAGGGAAAGTGTTGGGGATTTGAAGTCTCAGCGGGCGAACCCCATGTCTTGGGTGATGGGGTCACCACCTGGTGGACCATTGGCTGAAGCTTTGTGCCTTGGCATTGCTGGTGGTTCTAATGGCAGCGACAGTGGCTCCACCAGCTATAGGAGCTCACGTGGAGATGGTAGACAAGAATATGGTTTGATTAACTAAATGTTTGATTTGAGGAGGGCAGTGGTGGTTTGTTTTCACCTAAATGTTTGAAGTTTTTTCTTTTGTGTCTTTGACTTTTGAAGTAGATCAAGAATGGGGAAAATAATTACTGTTTTAGTTGATTATGTTGCATGCCTGCTATGCCATTATGTTCCGGATTTTCGAACAACCTAAAAAGAAAATTTTGAATCGTTAAGTTAAATTACTTGCAAGTGTACAAGCGAATATGCAAGAACAAGACCGTACTAATTAAATTTCACTCAACGTCACGGCAATTTGTTCGACTTGATCTCATACCTTGCCCAGATGTAAGAGATAATGGCAATACCCATGATGCAGATTGCAGAAGCCCTAAACCTCATAGTCTACCAAACTTCTTCAGCATTGAGAAACACTTGTTGCTGAAGAATTGCCCAAACTAAACAAGCTAACTCATTGCAAACCAAGAGCAATTCGGAAAAATAAGTATTGAACTTACAAGGTTTGTCTCGAATTAGGCTATATCTGCTTCTTGCTCACACTATTCAGTTGAACTCAACTTACAAATTCTCAGAATCTTCCAAAACTTGTCTCCTTAAAACTAGGGAGAAAAAGAGACGAAAGAACTTTGTATAAAGAACATTGTTAGGGAAATTAGGTATGGTTTGGTACTGAGGTGATTTTGAAAAAAGCAGGTATCGAAAAAAGTTGGGAGCATTTTGTTTTTGGAAAACTTCCAACTTTAGTTTTTTTTCACAGTTTTGGATGAAAGAAAAGCCAAAAACAGAAGCAGCAAAAGGCAACTTTGAAAAAGTGGCTTTTCAGCTTCTGCGCAAACCTCTTTTCTAAGAGGCGTTGAGCACTTTAATGAAACTTTCATGTACCCAAAATGACCTTAAGCAATTAAAACTTAACACAGAGGTTCAAAGATTTACCTAGTCATGGATTAGGAATGAATTGGTCTTTGATTAGTTGTAATGGCACCAGTTATGCTTCATTGGTTTCTGGGCAGAAAATACAGAGCATGGATTAGCTCTAGTCCTTCGAATTTAAACTTCATAGATAAAGTCAAGAGAGTTACCCAGAGTTGAGATTTGGGTGTAGATTCAGTATCGAGTTCGTCGGAAAAATGACCAAGAAGGTCACCAGATTTCTAGGCATGAACACAGAGAGGGCATTTGGGGTTAAATCCCAAGAATTTCATGCCAAAATTCGATATGCAGGATACAGAAGTTATACTTGAGATTAAATGAAGGTTGAATTGAGTTTGAAGCACCCCAATTTCGTCAAGCCTCAGGTCAACTCGTCGAAGAGTTTTTCACCAAGAGGGAAGGGTTGGCTTTCTTCATTTTTGAGTACTTGATCTTCACATGCAACGCCACCATTCGAATCCATAGGTCAAACTACACCTAAACAGGGAATATTGGTATGGATTTCACTCGAAAATTGGCGTTGGTGTGGGTGATTCTCTCGGTAATTCGAGAAAGTGAGTATCATAGTTAGAGAAAGGAGAGTCTCACAGGCAAAAAGGAAGAACAATAGAAGAAGAGGGAGACCAAATAAAGGAAGAACGAGAGAAGAAGAATGAGAGGCCAGCCTCTCTGCCTACCTGCATTTACATGTTGTGTTGGCCTAGGCCAGCTTTAATAAGTTCTATTTTGTACACCACAACATGATTGAATACTCAATTCAAATCTTCCACATTTTCTCTTCCTGAACCCAAAATTCCAAGAACCATTCGGAGTATTCTTCCCTTCATTAATTGGTTTCTATCCCATAGAAGAGTAGGGGATTGCATCCTACATCGATCGTCAAAGCAATAACACCGATGTGGGATAAAAACAAATTCTATGGTGCTTCAAGGTATCGAATATTCTTGACTTATAAAATCTTTTGTCAAAATGAAAAATCAGTCCAACGGTTCAAAAGTTTGGAATATTCGACACTTTGATTACTAGCACATTAGAAAACAGAGAAAAAATCTCTTTTCTTTTACCAGAAAAACAATGAAAACAGAGAAAAAAAAACATCTCCTCTAACCAAACTAATCATAAAGTTTTCATTCCCAGTTCCAAATCAAATAACAAATGAAGGGTGATGCTATCTACACATTTCTTTTTAACTCCCACACACACCAAATGAAAAACTAGTTTCAATTTCATAAGCACTTACCTCATTTTAACTCTCTCAGAGCATCTCCAATACAAGGAATCAAATCTTATATTTGAGTCCAAATATAAGGTTGGGGTTTGAGTCAAAGCGATACCCAAATTGGTGTTCATATGAGATTTGAGTCTAAGGTGAAACTCCCATGTCAACTAGAAAAAAATGTTATTCAACCCACAAAAATGACATGAGTTTTGAGTTCGAAGTTTTCTTCTCCAGTGTAAAAACCCATTCTTAAGACTCAATTGGAGAAGAAAACTAAAATACATAAATTCACCACTGTTTTGGGACCCAAATTGAAAATATGGGTTTAGAATTTGAGTCTTTGCATTGAAAATGCTCTCAGATCAGTGGTTGAACATGGAGAAATATCTCCCCCTATGCTATCGGTGTACGATGGCGAGTTCTCCCTCCCATAGTAGCCATTATTTTGTACACTCTTGAAGCTAGGACTTCTCAAGTTATGGCTGAAGCTACTATAACCAATGCCAACACAATTATGTGGTTGTGGCTCAGCCGGGACAGGGTACGAAAGGCGTTTCTTGGCTGAACCGCCGCCTCTTTCTCTCTCGGGTGTCGAAGGTCTTGTTCTAGGTGCACTAAGAGATTGAGCCTTGGCTTTTGCGGATTCAGTGGCAGCCATGTAATTTGGTGTTCCAGAACGGCACATTGCACCCTTGAAGCTGCAATAAGCATTGAAGCCTGATAGGCTTGGTGTGTGTGCAGCTGATGAGCAATAGTATTTTTCCTCTTTTGGGCATCTTGGACTCGCCGACCGCACTTTCAGAGTTTTCAGTTCTGAAGGAGAGGGTGTTGCGGGCGAGAGATGATCCATGTTCTGTGATTTGTGTAGGGGTGAAGCTGAAGCAATGGCGTAGGAGGCTGGTTGTTTTTGCTGTTGCGAATGTGAAATTCGAACATTTGGAGACGTGTATGAGGAAGGCCTGGAATTTTTGTCGATTTCAACTGTTTTTATGGAGTCCCTTTTGTCAATTGAAGCTCGGCTGCTGTTTTCGAATTGCTTCGTGGCCATCCATCTTTCTAGCCATCTTGTTCTCTCTTCTATCTCTGCATCATCACCTGCAGACGGGTTCCTCCCAGGCCTCCATATCTTCAATTAGGCATCAAAGTATTAAAGACATTAGCTTGTTAGACAGAAACTTATATGCACATGACGGTATCCTAAACCAATCACTAACTTTTTGACTTGGCATTGTACGATGAGATTGGGATACCGCCATTGTGCCATCTAGATTCACGAAATATTTCTTCTAAAATAAACACAAAAATACTAAAAGAACCATATATTAGAGAGTGAGGGAAAACTTGATCAACCTGATGAGAGAAAGCATAAGCAAGAGCCTTTTCGCGCTTTAAAGCGGCTTCCTTTCGACTCCGCGGTATGGGTTCAAGCCCATCGTCCCAATAGTCCTCACCACTAAGAATTTTCTCTCTAGACTGTTTGACGCAGCGAATATAAGAACGAGGAATTAGACAAGCATCTAACGCCAAGAAAAGAACACCAGGAAACTACTAACTGTAACTGAGAAAACCCTCAAGTTTTAGTTCATAACTTCATATCAAGCAAAAGTACGAAAATAAGAAGCATAAATGCGAAAGCCACTTACTACGATGAATAAATTCATGTTATATATTATTATGCTAAAAAGTGAAGAAATAGCAGCAGCTGCTTACTATTGACTTTCTGTCACGAATATCCTGAATTCTGGATTCCCACAAGTGAAGGCCTGTTTCAGCAAACATGGAGTTTCGACCAGCATCATGCGAAAGCCTTGATCTCTCGTTGTGAACCTGATCTTGTACCCGAACCAGAGCTTGCATGCATTTCAATGTCAGCTTTGCTTGCTTCCGAACGTTATGACCTCTCACTAAGGCTTGAAGCTTTACCAGGCCCTTAAGTGCACGTAGAGCTCTCCTTGCCTTCAGTCAAAAACCACATTTGCATTTGCAATAGGTAAAAAAAATCAAAATAACAACCATAGCGCTTTTGCAATATGTACACATTTGCATTTACATATATGTAAGTAGTTGCATCTATTGTGCTCTATTTTTGTGTTTTAGGGCTGGTTTGGGATTGTTTTGATAGAAATCACTGTTCATAGCGCTTTGCTAGATGTCCTATGTTGAAATTTTATGTTGAAAAGCCAAATGCGTCTTCAAAATTACTTGGGAGTTCATCCCGAAGAAACAGTTTTTAACCTTTTCTACTCAACACAGTCAAAAGTGTATTTGTTGTTAATAAATGATTTTAGCCTACCATGCAATCTCAAACATGCCCTTGGTAAGTTACTTACCAAGTAACCTCTGAATGCTGTTTGAATGAGTGTAGCAGCGTAGTGTTCTCTAGCAAAGTTAGTCGGTCTAGTGAGCCGAACAATTTCTTCCGCCGCTTGGGCAGTAGCCACAGCTGCTTCGGCTGCAGCTGCAGTTGCTGCGGCCACAGCAATTGCGTGCCTCTGCTCAGCGTCCAAAACAGGATTCACAGGTGGGGTTGCACCTACAGTCACTGTCCTTGCTTCACATTGTTGAACATGAACAGTTGGCTTCCGGAAAAGCCACCTTCTCTTCTCTCTCTTCTGCGTCCATATATAAACCAAACAATGAGCATTGAAACATATACAAAGCGATAGAGATTAAAATAGTTTAGAATATCGTATCGTCAGAAAATCAAATTTTAATTTTGTTACCTTTTCTTCTTCTTCTGGTTCATGCTCATCTCTTCTTTTGCTGCTTTTTTGCTGATCATAATCTTTAGTGGGAGACCTGAATGCCCTTTTCACTATAGTCAGCCATGAAGTCCCACTTTTCTTTCCCATTTGAGTGTTCGAGCAAAGCTTTGCTGCATTACATGAAATTTAGCCGAATAGGGCAAAAGAAGGTGAAGTTGGTAGAGAGAGAGAGAGAGAGAGAGCGAGCGAGCTTGAGGGTTGTTTGGTTACATGCAATGCAGGAATCAAAGTACGAGCTCTCAGGTCTCCAATATATTGTAAAAACAATGGTGTTTTTTTTGTGGCATGCGAAAAATTATAAAACAAATGGAGGGGCGGTGTCAGATATTGTAAAAAAAACAATGTAATAAGTTTTGAGAGAGATAGTGGACACAACGAGAGAGGGACATGTTTCAATGGAGGAGAAAGAAGAATCCAAAGCATCCGAACTACCGAGCTAGGGCTTCTTTGATTGATCAATGGCTTTAAATTTCACTGACAAAAATATAATGGCTTCACATGGCATGGACAACTAAAAGACGACGTAGAGAGAGAGAGAAAGAGAGAGAGTTTTACAGTGAGAGAATGTGGCCAAATGGGAGTGTCGCTGTTGTTGCATGCATTTGAAGTCCTCGAAGACCACCAGCTCGTATTCATGGGTAAAAGCAAACAGTGTGGGGCTTCGTTTTGCGAGTAATCTCAGTCAAACTAGTTTGGTAGGGTTTCTCCTTTGGTCAATTTTGTTTATGTTAATTGTACTTAATTAAAACACAGTTACAGTGTACTAGAACTTAGGCTTTCTTTGCATGAGAATAACTAATGAGTTTGTGTTTTCTGCCAGTTTTTTTGAGATTAAATGTGTAGTACTGTCAGTGTCACATCATATTTACACCTTCATAATGGTCAGGCCGGACCACTCTCCTCAAAATAAAAACTAAAAAGAGGTTTAACTTTAAACCATTTCTACTAGTATCTTAAGCTAATCATGCATTATTTTATGTTTAAATTATTTTCACCTAATACAATAACATGTAATTAGCTTACAATATCTTCATAGTAACATGAAAGTTCTTCTATTTCTACTATTTTTCTAGCAATATATTTTGAAATGGGAATGAAACTTGTATGCATCCTAAACTAGTAGATTTCATAGGTCAAATGTGTTAAGATCTATCCTCGAAAGGCTACCTTTGTAGGTGTTTTCAATTTGTTCTTTTTCGGGTTTTATTAGAGTAAATCGAACTCTGACCTATTATAATCTCAACCCGTTAATGAATTGTTAAAATAAACAAGAGAATAAGGCATTCATTATGATCAACCCTTGTATAATCTTGTGTGGAACTTTTTCTTCATCAACTGCCTTACTAAACCTATCACCAAGGTGATTTCGCACTTCCTTTTTGTCCTCTTACATTTTTTTGTTCTTTTAGCCTCTAGACTGAATAAAGGAAAAAGGAAATTAATCGACAGAAACAAAGGGAAGGCCACAAAAGTAGAAAATCCGAGCGTAAAAATTACTACCCTTAACCATAAAGTGGGTTACAAGACAGACCAAACTTTGCCAAACCCCCTGCAACTGAAACTTAACAGTAGCTGGTGAAAAAATTGAGCCTAATCCCGATTCAACACACAAATTTTACCCCTTCACAATCATTGTCATTCACCCTGGATAACGAGAGCATCCTTTCCTGGCATCCACTTCAATCCTCGGTGAAACTTCAAAAGGAAAACAGTAAAGAAAGTGAAAAAGCTTCAGGAAAGTACATATTAGCCAACTCACGTCAAACCTTTTCAGGACCAAAGTTCACAGAAAAACCAGAGGCCTCCAAAGCGCTTTTTGTTTAGGAATGATATGTTCATCATTCAATCAAGCAAATGTAAACATTCATGATGCGATCGGAGTTCCACCTACTCACCGTTAACTGATGTTTTTTTTCTGGAGAACAAAGCAGTCTAAGGAAAGTTTAAGCTTGATACCACTGGTTTATGTCAATCTAATTCAGAAGGTTTCCGCCACTTATGTCGTTCCTCGCTAGCCTTAAAGATTGATCCCTCTCTTCCACAAATATATTAGATTGCCAGTTAAACCTCTTTGCATAATTCGGATGGGAGAATGGATGAGCTTTGGACACTCATTTTCTAGAGACAGAGAAGAATACAAAAGCACGGAAGGGCAATGACAAGTCGGCATCGACTAAGTTTGTGTTTAAAGGTGTTTTAAAGATTCTGTACTTTCTCTCAAGGTCAGTACTTCCCTAGATTCAGAACTGTTATTTTCTCCACTGATAAATCAGCGGACTCTTTGCCACAAACTTGTGGCAGGCAAGAAGCATCGTCGTTCTACATAGATTCTTCAAACAAAGAGCACACCTATATGTTCAACTCTATACGATTGAATGGATAACTATTAGTTTTACCCTGTTCAAAACTTTCTAGTATAGTAAATACTTCATTTGTTGCGCTAAATTTTCTGCAAGTTGTTGTGATCAGTAGAGTTAAGCACAAGTCGTCTTGTTAATATAACAACTGATCGGCATAAAGAAAAACCACTTTAATCCAACATTGCTAACTATGCAACTAGAACCTATGTTCCCCTGGAACAGTGAAAGGCAACAAACTCTGGAGACTGAAGTAAGTTTCAAATAATTTCTAACCTACTGCACAGACGGCTGAAGCAAACTAGGAAACTCGGAGGCCAAGAATTCCAAAAGATGTAGGAAGTAATCTTTGACACACTGATTGCTTAGGGATTGTTCAAATATCAACAACTTCTCCAATTTTACTCGAGTACAACAGTTTTATAGCATAAGCAGAATTAAGACTCTTAACGGCTCATTTAGTGCCTAAGAGTGGGTTGGATTAGATAACTCACTATATTTAGGGTACATTGAAGGAAGAAACGAAGAAATGTTTTTCCAACTTGGAGGTAGAAGATGGACTACTCGTTAAGGCAACTTATCTCTTTCAGTCCCCTCAAATGGAAAAATTTATTAACCTCTACTTTCAACATACCTCAAATATTATGAGTTATATAATCCAATACTAAATACCAAACGAGCCCTAAGCACGTAAGATTAGTATATCTTGACAGAAATCAACTACACTTAGGTCTAATTTTATCTAAAACTACACCCGAAATACACAATTGAGACAATGGAATGAACAATCCTACTCCTAAATCTCCCTAATTATGTCTTCTAAACTTCAAATTGTTCAAAGCTTCATGCAAATCAAACATCTTCCGATCTTTGCAAATCAAAAACATAGATATATATAACTATCAACAGACAAAAACAAGAGAGTACAGTACAGAATTAGAAGCCTTTGGTTTCCATCAGAAACACAAAAAAAGCCCCAAAATTAAGAGAGAAAGTGCTTACAAAAACCCAATTTTGACACGAAAACAGAGATCTTTGCATCTCTTGTTCTTCACCATTCAGCTACAAATTGGGCAAAGCACCAACCCATTCTCATTACACTCAGGACACTTCACCACCACCGTCGTCCCCTGCCGCTGCCCGGCCACGTCATCCTTCACCACCAGCACCATCTTTGAGCTCCCATTGCATTGGAAGCAGGGCAAGAACCTTGCCTCCCCACACCCTTCACACACAGACCCAGCTTTTTTCTTTGGACACCCAGCAAGAATCTCAACCAGCAAACCCTCCTCCAAAATCTTCAACACCTCCTCAGCGCCGCCTATATATCTCCCCTTCACAAACACCTGAGGCGGCACCGCCACGTCCTTCCCTTTCCCCTTCATCAAATCGTTCAACTCTTCTCTGAACCCGCGATCCATCGACACGTCACGCTCGACAATCATCACCCCGAGGCCTTCTATCGCCGCCCGGACGGCGTTACACTCCTCGAAAGTCCGCCGCACTCCTCGCAGCGTCGTAGTGTAGACCACCACTTTGCTTTCTCCTCCCGGTGGGCATATTTTTTCGAACCGGTCAAGTGGGTCCTTCTTGTTGTTGACCCGGAAGACGCCGTCGTACGGAGATTTGAAAATTACCCGATTCGGGTTGGAGTTTTCTTTATCGGGGTTTTTTGGGTCATTGAAAACGAAGGGTTTGGGCGGCGGGAGCGGCGAGAATCGGAAACTATCAGCGTCGAGGCCGGCCATAAGCTCCCATGAGTTAATGACTTCCGGGTCGGACCGTAGCGGCCTAGGGTCGGACCATAGCGACCTGGGTTCGGACCAGAGCGACTTGGGCTCCGACAGGGGGCTCGGAAAAATGGACCCGAGAGTGAATCGAGGAGGAGGGGTCGGCGGAGTGGTGGGCGCAGGCGGCGGCGGGTCCAGAGTGAGAAGGCCGTAGGTGGAGGAAGTGAGCGAGACGATGTGGTGGCTGAGCGCGGAGCTGCCGAGTTGGGAGAACTCGTCGTCGTGGTTGAAGAGATTGGAAGAAACACAACCCATGTTCTCGTTTCTCGAATAGCGAAGTGTGAAGTGGCGGAGGAGTGAAAAAAGCTGCGAGCTTGAGATGCAGAGGAAGTAGACTTTTTCTGGAGTCGAATTTAATGTTTTTTTTAATTTTATAATTGGGTTGGGGAGTTGGGAAGTAATTCTAAATTTGTAAATTTATTTGTTTTTGAAGGAATTGAAGATTTTTTATTTTTTGTTATTTTTAATTTTTATTTCGATTTTGAAATGGGGGATTCTGTAGCACGTGAGATTTGAGCGCTAAAATTTAATTCAAATTTATAGTGTGGGTGGGTGTTACGAAGAGGAGCGTTACCAATTATTGCGTTACTGTCCTGTGTGAGGAGGGAGGAGGGAGGAGGGAGGAGGGAGGAGGACCGTACGTTTCCTTTCCTTTCCAATCGACAGGCTCTTGGTTTCCACAATGGGCCTTGTGGTTTCTAATCTAAATTCTTTCTACACTCCATCACCATTTCTCTCTGTGTAAATCGGTCCAGTGTGTCAATACAATTGGGCTCTTTTCTTGTCTCTTCATAGGCCTTCTTTATCCAATGGGTCATTCTCTCATGTGCGAGTAGGCCTTCTTTACGTGTCTCCTCCTAACTGTAAGAGTCATGATCAAAACATCTTAGAAAACCTAGATTACTTAGAAAAGGGAGAGGATAAACTAAATACAAGTTTAGAAAGATTTAGTAATGTACCCACTGAACAAGAAGTCTAGTACATGAGACTTATCTTAGAAGACAAACCAAAAGAAATAGAAGTTAACGCTAGAGATGTATTAAAAAAGGTAGAAGACCAAATAAAACAATTAGGACTAGAATAAATAATATTGAAGAAACACATAATCAATTACAAAGAACTATAATAGATTGCAGCTATGAATAGTGTCGATCAGTTTACAAATTATCTATCTTTCATAGATTGGTCTGACAAAACTAAAATTTTAAGAATAAAAGAAAGACTTCTAGACCAACTTTTACAAATAGAACAAGAAGTTAGAGCAATAATGGCTAGACCAGGATTAGTGAATAGATTAGAAATACATTTCAAAATAAAAATAATTACAGCAATTTTAGATCAAATAGAAGAGTTTTTGGAAAATCTTGATGGATAAATATAAAAATAGTAATTATTTTAAAGAATCAATTAAAGAAACGGATACATTAATTTTTAGTCAATTACAAGCAACATGGGTGAGCAGATTTTGTGTTTTGAAGCGCAGGAGAGACTCCTTGGTCTGGTTGTTTTGGGGTTTGGTCCCATTCCACCAAAATAAAATTGTGAAAGAGAGAGCTTAACTTCCCAAATGGAACCAATTGCTCTTAACAACTAGCTAATATGTGGTTTATAAAGTGGCACAACAAGATTAACCATAAAAGTTTGAAATTGAATAACTAATCGATTCTGCCAATCATGCAAGAAGGTTTGTTCTCCAAATAATTAAAGCTTGGCTTAAATTTCCATAGAGTCAACAAATTACATTATTAGTTTCTACTAAGTAATTATTATGAAAAGATAATTATTTTACGTGAACAGCAAAATTATCGTCCCAAATTGAAGATGATCCGTTCCTTTCTGGAAAATGCTTTCTAGTGGGGTTTGTCGGCAGGACCCATTCATCGGATGTAAATATCTTCTTCTTTCTTAAAACGAATATTATTGAAAAGGTTTGCTCATTTTTTGAAGAATCATTTAAAATTAAGAAATACTAATATGAAAAATATATTTGGATTCAGCGTCAACTACAGTACTGTCTGAGATTTTAACTACAAAATTAGCGTCCCAAATTGAAAACTTGGTATTTGGTATAGAAACCTAATGATAACATGGATTGATGATATATTCACATACACTTGCATACAAATTAAAAATAACGCAATCTCATATATGGCTGTGTTTATCTAGTTTTCCATGTTATGAATAGTTTCATATTGTATAACGTGTTGCTATATATATTGATATGCTGAAAGGCTTGTATTAAACAATTTATTTGTCTAATCATCGGAAATCGTTTAGTCATTCATATGTTTCAAATAAATTGACAATATTAAAGAAAATAGGCTGTTATGGTACTAATACGATATAAAAAATGATAGATGATTAAACAATCTCCGATTTAATTTTTTAATACATAAAAAATGATCTAGAAAAAATGATTAAGAAAATGAATCATTATAATTATGAAATTTGTAGGGTAAAAATTATATGCTAATCGCAAGAGAGTAGTGGATAAGATTGATGGAAAATTTTTGGTATTATGTGGGTTATGGTTATTATGATGGATAAAAGATTGCTTCAAAACACATAGTAACTACGGTATCTTTCATATTTTATTTGCCCTCACAAAGTGTGTATATATTATCTGAATAAGCCTTGAAGATATAATGTAGCATGACCTTACACCTTTCGCTCGTCGAAGTTACAAACTCCACACACAGGAGAAAGCAATATGCTCAAGATTGTTTAGTTAATGATGGAAGAATGTGTGAAGGTAAAAGAGTCTCACATTGGTTAAAAGAAAGTCTTGCAAGGACTTATAAGAGGTTAGACTACTCTTAATATTGCCAATTGGTTTTATAGTAGAAGCTCAACTTTCTTCATGGTATCAGAGTAGTTTGAGCTACTCTCATATTGTCAATTAATTTTAAGGTGAAACCTGTTGGGCTACTCCCCATATTGAAAGTTATGATCTTAGGTTACTTATTTCTTGTAGAAATCTTCCCTATATGTACAGTGATATTCTGAATTGATTAAGCAACCAATCAAATAGGAAGCATATCTTAGTTCAAACCTCCCAATCAAGAGGTACCTTTTCTTTTAGATCGTAACACTAGATAAAAGATTGTTAATAACCTCGTTTAAATTAACAAATCTTCAAAGTTTTGAGCTTAACGACACGATCGAGCAACTGGTCACTAGCGATAGCCGATCGGTCGTCAGCATGAAACTCGTTTAACTTTTAGACTTTGAGCGATAGCTTGTATATCCTTACTTCTACAATCTAGGGTTAAGGAAATTTAGCACAAATCAGTGATTTACCTACAAATTAAGGGGTGGTTTGAGAGTGAGGTGCTTAAAAAAAAAAACACCCATGAAAAAAAGCTGTGAGGGTTTTAGGTGTTTGGTAAACTAAAAAAAAAGGGCTTATTTTGGAAGCTGTTGTGAGAATAAGCTGAAATCAAAGGAAAAAGCTGAAGCTGCTATTTGCAGCTTTGGAAAATTGGCTTTTTTCAAAGCACATGGAGCTACAGTGCTCCTTTAATGAAAAGACCCACTATCAGACTGTTTTTTTTTTTTTTTTTTCCAAAAGCACTTTCACAAAAAAGTTTACCAAACACTCTGCTAATTTATTTCACAGCCGCTTATTCTCACAGCACAGCCGCTTATTTTCACAACAGCTTTTTTTTCAAAGCACAGCAATACCAAACCAGCCCTAAGAGTCGTGTGCATGACCAATCACTATCTCCTATGAAAAGATGCTTGAAAGAAATCATTCTAAGTAGCTATCATGTTTGCAATAATGGGGATGCATGGAGCCTTCGATATGTTGATCAATCAGATGGAAAATCTTTTGTAATCTTTTTCTTTTTCGGTACAAATTTGGTGCGCGGGATTAAGTCGTATGACTATGGCTGCCCCTTTCAGTTATCTGATGCAGAACGCTCCTTTCATAGACTACCATTATACCATCAATTGGTCGTTTCTGTGCAGGCACCTACTTTTCTGAAAGTTTATGTAATCGCATAGTCTTCCATATAATCATTTTCCCAGTGTGACGATCGATGTGATTTAATTCTTACTTTAGTAGGCAACAATATCTTCTAGGTCTTTAGCAAAGAAACAATATATCTTCCGGGTCAAGTCTAACATATAATTAATTATACCAACTTTCATTGAATTATAGTAGTATTCTTTCTTTTGTTGGAATTATTGAATACACCTTAGAAGTTCAATATTAAACAGCTTATATACTCTAATATGAAAGTACTATTTAAGCTTTAGAAGCTTTTCAGAAGAAAAAATAATATTTTTTTTAATTCACCAAAGTCATTTTTAACGTTTAGATAACCCTGCATCTTAAAAAATTTCTTCTTCAAGCCATCAAATCAACTTTCACTCATCCTCGTTGAACAAAACCCTAACCTCTAAAGGCACAAACATGTTGATGAAAAAACTCATAACTGATTAATAGAACATGAAAATGGCTATTTGGAGGTTCTACATGAGGTATGACTTTATAATATTTTTTTTTTCATTTACATCAATTTGAGCGATGTCATACTGCTTGTGAAACCTTAAATCCTTATATGGACTCGTCTCACCGAAAATATGAAGATATACCTGTGGATACCTGCTAAAAACTTGCACCGTTTCATTTTCTGCATACCCTTAGGTTGGAATGTATACTTGCACCGTTTCATTTTCTGCGTACTCTTAGGTTGGAATGTATTGCAAATATGCAGAAAATGAGGAAAAGGAGGAGTATTAAAATAACTTTTTATTTCAAAATAGGTATGGAATTTTTAGTATGCGAGTATCCAATAAAATGTGAGCTGTTAATAAAACTACCCTAATTGTAATTGTATTAAAAATAAAAAATAAAAACTAAAGTCTCAGTGTTTGGACAATGAAATGTTTATTTAAAACGAGCGTTACGGTCTGGTTAAACTATGTAAGTTAGAATAGTTTACAAAACAAAAGGAAGGTTTTTTTTGGCAATTTCATAAGGCAGGTTTTATGTAGTGTTCTAAAAGACCCCACCTAGCGCCACCTAAACTTCGATTAGGTGTTAGGCGGCTGGCCACCGTCACAATTAATCTCTAGAAGTTTAAATAATAAGAAAGGACACCTAAACCTACCTAGGCACCTGCCTAGCCCTCCTAGATCAAAGCTCTCACGTAGACAAAAATAAATAACTTCCATTTTGCATTTTATTGTTTTAATAAATTGTAAGAAACTTGTTGGATACTTGGATGAACTGTCATTATATGTTTGTTCCCCATGTTTTGAATATGTTAATAGTAATTTATAATTTATATGTCATTCAAGGCGCTAAATTCCTACCCGCCACCTAACTAGCGGCCAATGCCTTTTAAAACCTTGATTTTAGGTTTAGTTTTTTTTTTTTTTTTTTTTTTTTCTTTTAG